TGTGGAAAGGGTTCACCAGACCTACACACCTTTTGTCCCCTGACTCAAGAACACAGTCAGGACCCCAGGGCAAAGCCACAGACGAGGTTCAATGGTTCATCTCCCCAGGAGCAGGAGCAGAAGCAGGAGCTGATCTAGAAACAGGGGACATGGAAAAGTGGGCTTGGGGTCAGGGCCCCTGTGGGCCAGTGTCTGGGATGGGAATCTGCCCCCACATCTTTCTGTTGGAGACGTCTCTTGTGGAGATCGTGTCCACATCTTTTCTGCACAGATGGGCTCACAGGGTGACTGGATTGTGTTTTTGGTTCTCAAGTCTCAGGAAGGAAAGAACTTCACTTAACAAGAGCAGTTTAGGAGACACATCTGCTTCCTGGCCCAGTTAAGATAACTCTGGGCTTCCGACTTCAGCTCGGTGCTTGCATGAGACGGGTGTCCCCAGGAGTCTCACCCTGGGGTGATCACAGGCTGAGCAGTGCCTGAGAGAGGGGCGCTGAGGATCTTTAATAGTTGTAGCTCTCAGAGTCTTCTAATTACCTACTGTTAGCAATTGTTTCTCATGTGTTGTCTTTGGGCTCCCCTGAGCTCTCCTCCTCAGAATCTGAGCATTTGCAACTTTCAGATTTAATCCACTCTTATTTCACTGGTCTAGTGGTAAAGAGTGGGGTATGAGAATGTTACATATTTTTATGAAATTGATGACTTCGTGTTCTCATGTCTCCACGATGTTCCTTTCACAAGGGCCCTTCACGTGACAACTCATTTTCCTCTGCCGTCTACTCACGTTGCTGAAGCATCTTCCTCTATTTCCTTGAATCTCACCTCCTCTGAGTGTTTTCACTCTTTAGGTGACACAGAATCACTGCATATGGATCTAGAGTGTGAATAAGTTTCTTCTCTCTCTCACAGTTAGGTTTGAAAATGTTACTGGGAAGGAGAATCTTCCTGGTGAAGGCTGTGGATGCACATCTCAGGGATTAGTCCTGCACATGACAGATGCCTGAGGGGACCTATCTCAGTCCTCAACCTGGGAACCTGGAGATTCCTGGAAGGAAAGGCCACAATGATGTGGGTGTGCAAATCCCAGGAGCTCTCACCCTCACATGCTCCACAACTGTCCCCATCCATTTATAGAAATTTCATGGAAGCGTTTTTAACAGATTGGACCTGTGGCAGCTTCAGATTTAGGCTAAAAGCTCTCACCTGTCATTCAGGATGTGCCTGTCTCTCCAGTTTTTAGGGCAGCAGTTTTATCTGCAATTTCAGTGCTATGATGGGCCCATGGCCAGCACTGATGTTCAGTCTGTCCAGATTGTTCCTGTCCTTAGAATAAGGGTAACAATTTCCAAGCTTTTTTAATGTTTGAGAAGAAACCGGAAGCACCTTTAGAGGTTGACTTTGACCGGCTACTCGGAGGAGTATTCTGATTTCACCAAGTGTAAGTGACACCTGGGCAGACATAATTAGATATGGAACAAAGCAAAAGATGGGAAGACACGCATGCACATCAAATGGACTTTTCACTTTTCTTCCCAGGCACTGAGTTAAGCTTCATTTCCCAGGGGACCTGCCACTGGAGTTGGAAATGTGAGGTGAAGTTCTGGACCACGGACTGTGAGAGGAGTTGTGATGATAATCACCCACTGTCCCACCATCTGGCCCTGTTATCAAGGTCACATCTAGGGGAAGTGTCGTGATCATGCAGGGTCCTCTGTCCAGTTCTTATCATTAATGATATATGCATTTCCTAATGACACATATCGACATGAATTCACAGCGGTCACAGTGTGTCTTCAGGAATGGGTCAGTGAAAACCAGGTCACATGCCCTCCACAAGAAAAACAACACACAATCTAGATAAAATTGCCAAAATCTACATTTGAAGACTCTTGAAATTGGCAAAAGGCACACAGGTGAAGAGGCTCATGTGTGAGAAGCCCTGAGCCTCAGGAAAGGCTGTCACAGTCTGAAATGTTAGTGGAGGCTGCTGTCATCTCCACCCAGCACATACTCATGACTCACCAGACAGAATCCTAGTGAACAACCAGCTTCCAGATGAAAGAAAGGTCTCAGGACACAGAAAGTAAAAACTTTGACAGATGTCTAGATTCTGTGAACTTTGGATGTATTAACCAAGACATGGACAGATCTGTCAAGGGTGGAATTGTTAACATCAAGGTACTTAAGTATAACATCTGACAGGTCATGAGCTGGTCACTAATTATGCTTATTCTCAGGAAACCACAGCAAACAAGAAAATAAGAACATAACTATAATTTAAAAAATGTAAGAAATGAGCAAAAACTTCATTAGGAAAATGAAAATTTTTCCAATATTTTGACTGTTCATATTTCCATGTTTTAATTTTTATTATTATTAACATATTCATCATTACAAATCACAATCTTTGTCCATGTGCACAACCTGACCTGTTACTACCCAACCTCCCTCCCTCCCTACCCCCCTCTCTATTATCCATAGCTCTGTTCTGTCCTTCAGAATGTTCATCATATTGTTGTGGCATTGAATTATTCCATCTTTCTCTCTTTCCTTCCTTCCTCCTTCCCTCCCTCCCTCCCTTCCTTCCTTCCTTCCTTCCTTCCTTCCTTCCTTCCTTCCTTCCTTCCTTCTTAGCACAGAGTTATGAGTGAGAATGTGCTATTACTGTTTCTTTCTCTGGCTTAATTTACTTAACGTAATTTTCTCCAGGTTCATCCATGTTGCCGCAAATGGAAAAATATCCTTATTTTTAATGGCTGAGTAGTATTCCATTGTGCAAATGTACCACGCTTTCCTTATCCAATCATTTGTCAATGGACATTTGTGTTGACATCATATCTAGGCAATTGTAAATAGAGCTGTGATGAACATGGGAGTGCAGGTGTCCCATCAACATGATGACTTCCCTACCTCTGGATATATACCCAGCAGTGGGTTTGCTGGATCATATGGTAGTGATATCTGTAGTTGTCTGAGGCATCTCCATAACTTTTTCCATAATGGCTGTGCTAATTTACAGTCCCAACAACAGTTTAGGAGAATTCCCCTTTCCCTGCATCCTCACCTCACAGCATTTGTTTTTCTCGGTCTTGTTAATAACAGCCAGTCTAACTTGCGTGAGATGATATCTCAATGAGGTTTTGATTTGCATTTCTCAGATGACTAGTGATGCTGAACATATTTTCATGTACCTGTTGGCCATTTGTATATCTTCCTTTGAAAAATATTTATTAATTTCCTTTGCTAATTTTTTAGTTAGATTATTATTATTTATTACAATTATTATTATTTTATTTATTTATTTATTTAATGTATAGCTATTTGAGTTATTTGTATATTCTGGATATTATTGCTGTGTTGGGTGTATCATTTACAAATAGTTTCTCCCACTCAAGAAGTTGTCTTTTCACTCTTTGGATTTTTTACTTTGCTGTGCAGAAGAAGTTTAGTTTGATATAATACCATTTATTTAATTTTTCTTTTGTTGCCTGTGCACACCTCTCAGGAGGCAGCCTGTACCCTAGACTGTGTTCTGCACCCCCGTTCATTCTCAGAGTCTGTTTTGTGAATCCTGCGGATCAGGAGGTGAGCCAGTTCTCCACACAGGTGCAGCAGTTTCCTCCCACCTGCTCCTCTCCCTGCTGCTCCCTCTTTTCTGTTCTTCCTGGGTGTTTCTCTTCCTGTCTTTATTCCATAAAGGCCGAGTTTTCACTGTTATTTCTGCTTGAATGCAGCAGGGATGGAGAATTCCAGAGACTCTCACACCATCAGAGATGGCTGGGAAGGAAAGGAGGCCACCTGGATTTTATCATGTATTGTGTCGTGTGGGCAGAAGTAAAGCATCTCTAACCACAGGGACTTCAGCCATCATGGTTCTGTCCAGAATATGATTTATAAACGGATCTTACACCCATCAACAAAAGGATTAAATCTCAATTTAAAATGGGCAAGTGATAGAATCCACATTTCTTGAAATAAGATAAATAGCTGAAGAGCAAATTAAGAGATCATCAACCTCCTTAGTTATCAGGGAAACACAAATATAAACACGTGGGTTTACTTCAGAGGCACCAAGATGACTGTTTTTAAAGGAAACGTTGTCCTCATGGACGTGTACACACTGGAAAGCTTCCATAGCGTTGGGGTTTAGGGAAAAGCTCAAGTGCTGCTGTGGTAATGATTTGGGCAGTTACATAAAATGTTAAATGCAGGACAACCCTATGACCCAGCAATTCCACCCCTAGGTATTGGCCCAGGAGAGATGAAAAGAGGGGTCCAAACACAAATGTGCACAAATCTTTACAGCAGCTCTGTTCATGGGGGCCAAAAAGTGAACAACTCAAATGTTCATTGACTGAGGAATTGATAAAAAGATGTGGCAAATTGATACAATTGGAAACTATTCACCTACCTAAATGAAGTTACTTACACATGCTACAAAATGAATGAACTTTGAAAATATTACACCACACAAAAGAAGCGGACATAAAAGGACACGTGTTACATAATCCCATTCATATAACATACCCAGAATACGCATGTCCATAGATACAGAAACACATTAGTGGTTTTCAGGGGCTTGGAGAGGGTGGGATGAGCAGTGACTGCTTGTAGGGGGTGGGGTTTCCCTTTCAGGTGATGAAACTGTTCTGTAACTACACAGTGGTGACAGCTGACAAACCTCATGAAAATACTAAGTGCCACTAACCAGTATCAGATGGTTAAAATGGTGAACATAATGTCATGTAAATTGTAGCATCATACAAAAAAAGCACATTAAACTTAACTTTTATTTTACATTTATCATTTTAAGGTAAGAGGAACCACATTTTAAGGGAACACAAAAAGCAAATAAAGGAAAAGAAAAACAAAAACAAGAACAAGAGTTCCTGAGTATGACTTTTACTGAACAGAGACAGGAAACACCAAGGACTGAAAGGAAACCCTGGGTGTCCTGTGCACCTGCTCCTCAGTGGAAATTCTCCATGTAGTGTGTTCTGGGTTCACTCAACCACCGAGTCCCCTCCTGTCTTCCTGTGAAGAGGTTTGTGTCTGGGCTCACGCTGACTTCCCCTCACTGTGTCCCTCGCACAGTAATACACAGCCGTGTCCTCGACTATCAGGCTGCTCAATGTTAAATAAGCTTGGCTCTTGGAGGTGTCCCTGGTGATGGTGACTCGGGATTTAAGATCTGTATTATACTTTGTGCTTCCATCACTCCATATCGCACCGACCCACTCCAGCCCCTTTCCTGGATGCTGGTGGATCCAGTTCACACCATAGCTGGTTAAAGAGAATCCAGAGACAGAGCAGGTCAGAGACAGGGTCTGTGAGGGTTTCACCAGGCCAGGACCCGACCCCTGCAGCTGCACCTGGGACAGGACACCTGGGGACAAGAAGCATCACCGTTAGTCAAACACGCTTGAAACCACCACATTCCCAGGTTCCATTTCCTGAAGTCCCCGAAGCACTCACAGCAGGGAGCAGCCACCAGGCAGATGAGCAGCCCCAGGACATCCATGCTCTGATGAAGGGCTCCTGGTGAAAGGAGACTGGGGCTGCTCAGCCCAGGGCTGGCCTTTCAGCCTGACACTGGGGTCTGCTTTGCATGAGGAGGCCTCTGAGGATATAAGTGTGGGAGCAGAGGGGACAGTCTCTGTCTGTCCGTCTCTGGGGCAGAGCATTTTACCTTGTGCTGCTGAGAGGAACTGGGGAGACAGAACCTCAGAGACTCTTCTGTGCATCACTGCCTGGTCTTCCTGTTTCCAGACAAATATGAAGAGAAGTGGAGATGGAAGGTGGAGGGTTCAACAGCACAGAACATGAAGAAACATTTTAATTAAAGAGATTCTAGGTTCAAGGAGAATTCCATGACCCTTTGATTTTCATGAGCACCATTGACCGTGTCTGTTGTTTGATGCTGTCTCTCAGCTGGTGGCCTCAGTCTCTCTGCGCACAAACCTGTTATGTGTGACTTCAAGTGAGACAGTTGGAATTTTTTAGACTCTTTTAGTTGGTTCTTTCCAGAAGATGTAGACTTTCCTATGACACTCAGATGTGAGTGTGTGTGTGTGTGTGTGTGTGTGTGTGTGTAAGCATGTACATACCCATGTACATATATATGCATGTATTTATTGAGAGAGAAAGAAAGTCCCCTACCCCTTCCTGTTCTTGAAACAAGTCACTAAGGCAAATGCATAGAAAAGATGCCCCACCCCACTATGTGACAAAGTCATGTGGGACTAGAACTATAGCTGTGGATATTTCTAGAGATTCCATCTTCCTCAATCTCATTTAGAAATCCTCTGTTCACACTTCTGCCCTGACAATTCCAACGTCAGCCTTGACTGTCACATCAGACTCAGTCTTGAGGTTCGTGATCTTGTCACTTGCTTCAGGTCACAGGTGACTCCTCGGTGGTGTTTTCTCAAGTGCAGCTCCTACTGCATCTGCAGACTATGAGATGGACACTCTGTGCCCTGCCTCCCTTTAACCCAATGTACTGTGATGAGTCACTTCCAGGATGACCACTGTAGACCATCCCGTTCAAAGACTAGTAACGGGCACCTGGGAGTCACTGGATCACAGCAACTCTGAACATTAGTTGGGCACGACGTACCACTGTCTGGTGCTGGTCCATTTCTTGTGTCTGGGAATGACATGGCATGACCCACAGAATCATTATTTGGGCTTCTAGTCCCACCCTGTTAGGAACAATTCCTTTCTCTATTTGAAATTGGCATTTTCAGTTGATTACCTCTTTTAGGCTTTTTTATTTAAAATAAGCTGGGAGAAGTTACAGGTTGTGTAATTGTATTAAAGCATATGTAAAAAATGTCCCCTGTGACAGTCCAGGACATACAGTGAGTAATCTTAGCTATCCACACCAGAAACAATGACTTTGAAATGTAGAAGAGGTACTAATAAAAATCAAGGACTGTGCGTCTGTGTAAAACAGCAGATTCCAAATAAGAAAATGCCACAGTCACTGGAGTACCTGACCTGTTTTCTCAGAGTCTGGGGTTTAGGGACATGTATACCTAGATAGGAAGGTGGAGTATGTGTACAGGCATAGTTTTGCTCATTGAAAAGGAAAATGCAGACCCCTACCAAAAAAAAAAAAAATTCTCACCCCCAGATTTTCTCTGCACCTGCCCATGGAGCTGGGCCCTGGGGGCGGAGGGTCCTGAGTTTCCCTCTCACCCAGTCCCGTGTCACCTTCCACAGATCTTGCTGCTTTCCACAGACCAAAGTTGTAGAGATTTTCCTCTACGGTTTTTTTTCTAATAGTTTCATAGTTTCAGGACTCAAATGTACTTCTTATTCCATTTTGAGTTGCTTTTTGTACGAGGGCACAATTTCATTAATCTTCATTTGAATACCCAATTTTCCCAACAAAAATTTTTGAAGAAACTGTGCTCTTCCCATTGAGGGTTCTTGGCACTTTTGTTAAAAATCAGGTGAATGTAAATTTTTAGTTTTATTTCTGGGCTTTCTGCTCTATCTGCTCTATGTATTTTTGTATGTCATCACCAAGCTTTTTCAATTATTTTAGATTTATAACATATTCTTAACCAATATTAAGTAGCATTTATCTCTGGGATGAAAGGATGGCCCCAAAGAAGCAAGTAAATAAATATGATAAATGCCATTACAGAATGAAGGAGAAATAACATATGATCCTTTCAACAGAGATAGAAAAAGCATTTGACATATTTCAACCTATTTTTATTAACAAAAAATTCAACAAATTTGTCATAGTAATAATATCCTTCACTACATAAAAGGTTGTATATGATAATTCCACAGCTAATAACAAGCTTAACATTGAAAGTTTATGTTTGTTATGTGTGATCAGAACAAGACAATAACGCCCTCTCTCACCACTTCCATTAAACATAAAACTGGAAGTTCTAGTCAGAGCATTGAGGTAATAAAAATAAATAAATGACATCCACTTATGAAAGAGAATAAAAATTGTTTTTGTTTCCTGATAACATGATCTCTTATTTAAAAACCCTAAAGACTCCACCTATGAACTGTGACAGCTAATAGAAGCACTAGCAGTGAACTATCTAAAGATTAAATCTGTAAAACAGTCACATTTAAAATAGAATCAGAAAAAAAATAAATTCTTGGGAACATATTTAACAAAATTAATAACAGATTTGTATATTGAATACTCTAAAGGATTGATAAGATCATGGAAGTATTAATGGAAGAGACTTTTTCAAAATTGATGGCAGACATAAAAATGCAGATGGAGGAAGTCCACAGAGCACAAACACCATAAATAAAAGCAACAGAAATGAAGTGCACACACACACACACACATGCACACATGCACATTTACACAAACATTCACAAACATGCACACACGTGCACACACACGCACACACACATGCACACACACCCATGACCAAGATATTAAATTTTATCACATTAAAACTGCAGAAAATATCTAAAGTGGTTGTGTTTAGAAATGCTTACACATAAAAGAAGAATCATAAGCATTTCAGAAGACTTCTTGTCAGAATCAATGCAAGCAAAAATCGAGAAGTTTTAAATATTTAAAGTGTTGGAAGCTGCAACCACCAACACCCACGATTCCTGATTCAGGTAACTAATCCCTCAAAAGTTAAGGAGAACAACATCTCTATTCATAGAATAGCACAGAAATTTTAGCCAATGATATAATGTAACTTTCAAAAAGCAAAGAGAGTAAATTTTGAATGTCTCATGTTGGGAAAATATAGGAATATTGTCAGGGCCCCTCAGATGTTCAGAATCTTGCGGAGCATTTGCTGTAAATATCCTCAGGTGTTCCTTTTTACTGCTTAATGCAATTGCATATGGGCACCCAGGTGTCCTGGGGTATGGACCTGAGTATAAAGGACTAACAGCTCTAATCCATGGTGCTGCACAGAACTCTCAGAGAAGCCGCTAGGACGGCTACTCCCAGCTCTGAATAAAGTGTATTAATCTTTACCCACAGCTTCCAGGACCTTTTTCCTATTATCTAACTTGTAGACCTGCATGTGGAGTAATTGTGACCCAGTTTGTGAGCCCTAGCCCTACCTCTACAATTGGCATAGTCAGCAGGGTTTGGGGGCAGGTACAGGAGCCCCTTGGGAGAAGGAGGTAATGTGGCTCCTCCTGAATATTCTGTACCCTCTGGCCACTTTCCTCTTGACCTGGATCTGGTTGCTGCTTACAATACTGCAAGTCAGCATAGACCAGGCACTCCATGAAGCTGGGCATCCTCGGAGAAGCCCTTGCAAGGAAGAGGAAATGTGGCTGTCCTTGAGTATGTGGTGCCCAAGGGTCACTTTTCTGCTGACCAGAGCCTGGCTACTACTCAGTGTGCTGCAAACTGATAAAGATTTGAAGAAGAAAGCAGAGTTGTTGGAAGTGTGAATAATTGTCCTGGAGGATGACATGCAGTGAGTGGCCACCCCTGCTTCTCACACCAGGGCTAATGACAAACCCAGTGTTGAGTTGGGGGAGACTGTGCATCTCCAGGCATGACCTGTTGTGCACCAAAAAGTGAAGTTCAAGAACCCTATAGGACCAGGCAGCCACCCGGCACACAATCCACAGGTGACCCAGTTCACTACCTATGTCCTTTATTCCCACGTTGAATTATTTGACTTGCAGAGACAGTTTTGGCAGAAACAGGGGAGCTCCTGGCTGCTTGGCTGCTGAGGTTACGAGACCTAGGGGTGGATGGTGTGATGTGCTCTGGTGAGAAGATGGAAGAGTTGGCCTCTATTACCATCCACCCTTCCCTGAGGCAGCAGTTACAGAATAGCTGTAGACATGCACAAAGGTCAGGTAATCACTCCTTAATGGAATGAGTAAGTGCAGCTACCTGAGCCATGGGAGGGAATACTAGAGAACTCTCCAAGATTGTGAGAAATGGCAAACACATTCTGAGTTGGTTCCAATCGCAGCTGATAGCCAAGACAAATTCACCTTCACCTGGGAAGGGATGCAGTGGACCTTTCAAGTATTTCCCCAAGGTTATCTGCATAGCCCAACCATCTGTCATGGTTTAGTGGCTGGGGAACTAGCCAAGAGGACAAGGCCCAGCACAGTTACAGTGTTTCACTACATAGATGATGTGTTGTTAACCTCTGATTCTCTAACAAATTTAACCCAGGAAGCTCCAATGCTGCTAAGGCATTTGGAACTATGTGGGCAGGCATGAACACAGCCAAAGTGCAAAGACCTGGACTGTCAGTCAAATTCTTAAGAGAGTTGTCTGGTTGGGTAAGAGGAGGGTCATCCCAGAAGCTATTACAGACAAGATACATGCGTACCTTAACCGACAAACTGTAGCTCAGCTACAGACATATTTGAGATTCTGGGGTATTGGAGAGCTTCCGTACCCCATATGGCTCAAATGGAATGCCCAATGTATGCATTAATAAAGAAAGGAGCCCCTTGGAATTGGACTGAGGAAATAGAACAGGCTTTCCAGGCTACAAAGAGGGCAGTATAGCAAGTATAGGCCTTAGAAGTGGATGATCCCACTAAGCCTTTTGAATTAGATGTACATATATCTCATGAGGGGTTAGGATGGGGTTTGTGGCAGAGACAAGACTGATTCCAAACACCTGTATGATTCTGGTCTCAGCTCTGGAAGGGCACTGAAGTACACTATTCTCTGATAGAAAAACAGCTAGCAGCCATATATTTTGCCTTGATGGCCACTGAAGCTATCACTAGAACTGCCAAAATCCTAATACAGACAACATATCTCACACTAGGTTGGCTGCACATGTGGGCATCCAAACCTAAAACAGGTGTAGCTCAGATTCCCACTCTGCCTAAATGGGGAGCATATACAGAACAAAGGAGCCCGGTGCCAAAGAGTCCTCTGTCCAAAGGGTTGCAAACTGTGCTAGGCCGAGTAGTGGTTGTGGAGGATACTTTGGCACAACTCTTACCTTTGAGGTGGAGGCTACACCTTTCCATGAGGGACAGGGACCTATCACAGAGCAAGCTTGGTATACAGATGGCTCTAGCATGGGACCTTCAGCATCATGGGCAGCTGTTGTTGTCCAGCCCTTATCGGATAACATGTGGTATGAAAATGGCACAGGACAAAGCAGTCAATGGGCAGAATTGAGAGCTGCTTGGATGCTGATAAAAAGTGAGCCTGGGCCATTAACCATCTCTACTGACAGCTGGGCTGTGTACAAAGGTTTAACCATTTGGATTTCTACTTGGAAGTATTAACAGGGGATGTTTGCCCACCGACACCTGTGGGGACAAGCCATGTGGCAAGAGTTATGGGAATTGGGGCATGAGAAAGAAGTAACTCTTTTCCATGTCACAGGACACTTCCCCTTAGCCAGTCCAGGAAATGATGAAGCCATTGCCTTGGCTAAGGTAAGGTGGCTGGAGAGAGCCCCAGCTACTGATGTAGCCCAGTGCTCACATTGATGAATGCAGCATGCTGGCAGCAAAACCATGTGGATGGCGGCTCAAGATGGGCCCTGCCTATAAAATGGGAAGATGTTTGAATGCCTGTCATACTTGTCCAGTATGTGCTCAAGAGTGTCCACACTCCCAGGGGGTGCCCCATATAGATGCACAAATAACTCAAGGAAGGGTGCCCCTGGATTGATGGCAAGTGGACTTTGTCAGACCACTGCCCAGGTCAGAGAATTTCAGATACATCTTCACTGCTGCTGATACAGCTACTGGTCTTCTGTTTGTTTGGCCTTGTAAGGCCTCAGACATGTAAACACTGTGAAGGCATTGAATAGCCTTGAGGCCCTGTATAACCTTCCTGTAGTCACAGAGTGTAACAATGAACCCACTTTACTGGACATGAGGTTCCGAGGTAGGCTTTCCAGTTGTCTATTCAGTGGAAGTTTCATGTGCCATATCATCCCCAGGCAGCAGGGATGATTGAGCAATACAATGGTCTCCTAAAACAGGAGCTAAGTCTATCTGCCCAACCCCCATCCCTGAAGGGGTGGACACAGCGGTTACAGCCAACAGTCAGGATTCTAAATAAGAGACCCCACAAGCACGGGCCCTCTCCAGTGGAAGATCTGTTGCATGGGGCTGCAGCACATAAACAAGAGCAGATCACTACTAGAGATGAGCTTTTGGCAAGAATGGAAATATTCTCTTACCAGCCCCAACCTGTTTACTACTAGAACAGACAGTACGATGGGAATGGCCTTGGAGAATAGAAGCCCCCCATATATGCTGGGTAGGCCTAATAGGGCCTTGGGGAAAAGGATTAGTAGAAGATTTGGAAATTTCACCTTGGATGACAAGTACCTGGTGTAATCGAGTAAAGGTAACATGGCCTGGAACAGATGAGCGCTCTATTCCATAGGGCATGTTTATATTGTCATTATGGCCAATTATGAGTTCCTCTGTAGTGTTACATGTAGAACCTACAGATCCAACAGTGTTAGCAGATAATGTAAGGTATCATAAGCCAGGTAAGATACCTACTCCTGCAACCATCCTTTCCCAGGTTGGCAAACTAGCATGTACCTTACCAGAGGGGTGAGACCTGGTCCTATTGGTACCAATAACCCTTCTGTCTTTTCACCCATAGTGCTCTGGCTGTGGGCACCAGAGTCACCTGAGTACAGACATAAGTTCGTGTGACCAATGTGTCTGCTTATTGAATATGCACTGAAGTTCACACCAGTGATGACTACTCACTGGGCATGTGTGGCTAATAGTTGAAAGGACAGAACTACAGGACAAGTGTAAGGCATATTGGACATACAATAGGTTATATGAATGTAAGGGTCATTTGTCCCAGCTAAGGGAACATTCCAGAAGATTCTGAACATGTGGATAATATGGTAAGGGACCCTGAAGCAGTGGATTGTTGGGAAAATGTAGGAAAATGGTCAGGGCCCCTCAGATGTTAAAAATCTTGCCGAGCATTTGCTGTAAATATCCTCAGGTGTTCCTTTTTACTACTTAATGTAATTGCATCTGGGCACCCAGGTGTCCTGGGTTATGGACCTGAGTAGAAAGGACTAACAGGTCTGATCTATGGTACTTCTCAGAACTCTCAGAGAAGCCACTAGGATGCCTGCTCCTAGCTCTGAATAAAGCCTATTAATCTTTTACCCATGGCTCTCAGGACCTTTTTCCTACTACCCAGCTTGTAGACCTGCATGTGGAGGGTTTGTGACTCAGTCTGTGCAACATACTTGAGTGGTCTGTGAGCCCTAGCCCTAGCTCTACAGATGGTGATATCAGGGAAATGTGTGAGGGATACTTTGGGGACATCAGAGAGTGGACAGGGATTAGGACTCTGTCCATCTGGATTTCATTATCTATGTGGACTATTCCAATGGAAGCTGAAAGATCATCTTAGGACACAGTTCCCAAGGATGCTTTGACAGATGCACACCAAGTATTCAGCCCCGCAGGGCTCTGGTGGGATTGATCACTGTGCTTGTAACCCTGAATTGTCCACATGGAAACATGAGAGCTGTGTCGGGCCCTCAAGCAACTGCTTCTCCATCCGGGACACTGAAGGATGGACAGGGAATGGGACAAATCCTGAACATCAGTGTCCATGGTGTGGATGAGCATCCAGAGGCTTAACTGTCCCAGCGAGCACAGAGACCCTGTGGGCTGAGGTCATGGGGGGGGGGTGAATTATAACAATGATGGGATGTGGACTTGGCTGAGATAAAAGGCGCATTTGTGGACAGTTTGCATCTGGACTTAGCTAAAATTTAGGGGAAAATATTCTTGATCAAAGGAACAAAAGAATCCTTACAATGATTTGTGTGTCAGGAAAGAGAACAAGTCATGGTAAAACCTGAGGGGGGGGGGGAAATGTCCCCAGTGAATGGAAACATCTTATCTACAAATGAGGAAAGTTACTTCACTCTGTGTTCCCTGCAGTAAGAATGTGAGAAAAGAGAGTCACAGAGAGCAAAGAAGGAATTGACCCTGGGGGACATCTGGGAGTCAGCAGAGCAGAGGAAAACTCAGATCCCAAGAGGAGCCCCCCATCCCCTCTCTGCACCTGCTCCATGGGGCACAGGAGCTGGGTGGGCCTTGAGCGCCCCCTGCAGCCCAGACCCCTCCTGTATCCTGCAGGGAGGTTTGTGTCTGGGCTCACGCTGACTTCCTGTCATTGTGTCTCTCGCACAGAAATACATGGCCGTGTCTTCGTCGGTCACAGAGCTCAGCTGCAGGGAGAACTGGTTCTTGGACGTGTCTCTGGTGATGGAGATGCGGCTCTTGACGGATGGGTTATAAGCTGTGCTGCCACTGTAATAGATGCGTCCCATCCACTCGAGCTCCTTCCCTGAGAGCTGGCGGATCCAGTGCCAGTAGGAACTACTGGTTGTGATGGAGTCACCAGAGACAGTACAGGTGAGGGAGAGGGTCTGTGAGGGCTTCACCAGTCCTGGGCCCGACTCCTGCAGCTGCACCTCGGACAGGACACCTGGAGACAAGGAGAATCAATCACTGTCAGTCATGTGCAGTCACGACCACCCCACAGACCCTGACATCTGACAAACTCACATTTGGAAGTTGTCACCAGGTAAAGGAGAAGACCCCACAGTTTCATCTTCAATTAGATCTCAACTCTGCCTTTCACAGAGACCTGAGCCCTGTCTGAGGACAGACCTGTGAGCTTCCACCAGCCAAGCATCCACATTTACCCTAGAGCTTGAAGGAAAATTTGCATGCGGGGGAGCTGTGTTCTTATAAGTGGTTATAAACTTAGGTGAGAGACTTTGTATTTTTTTAAGTGCCTGTATAGTTTCGTTTTTCTTAAAATTATTTGACATGCAATTATGGAATAGGAGAGAAGCTGGTGAGTTTGAAATAACCGAAATGTGTCCCCAGCTTTCTGAGCCCAGATCTACCTCCCTTCAACCCCATCTTCTGGGTTGTCTTGGTGCAGCCCAACTCTGCTCCATAAACCCAGGCTCTGGCTCTTGCTTCCCAGCACTGATCCCAGCAGAGCCACTGCTTTCTTTCCCTGTACCCTGTCCTGTCATGTGGTTCTCATCACACCTGAGAGCTTGTTACATTGTTACATTGTTGCTGTTCCATGAATTTCAAGCCTGCCTTGAGCTCTGTCCACCCTGTGATACAAGACACAGCACATGGGAACCCACAGGGTCTCTGCAAAAAATGATGCCTTGTGCATTACTCAGGAAACTGATTCTAAGTATTTGGGAAAGAGCAAAAGACTTTTAAATGCCCCTGTCACAGAGTAAGTCCTGTGCATCTGTAGTGTAAGTTTTTCCTATCTACATTCAGTTCTCATCCAAATTTTATGGATGTTAATCCTTCATTTAATCCTCCAATTTCATCAGTTATCCCTGATTTTTTAAGAAATCCTTTAAAAACCTCAATTATAATGGTTAACATTCAAGCAGTAAAACCATCCAGAGCATAAAACTTGTAAAAACAAACTTCCCCTTGATGCTCATGTGCTGGGGTCCATGACAGCCCCTCCATGACTGCGGTCACTGCCCTCTGTACCACTGCCCAGCACAGAGAAAGAGGCCAGGGGCTGGGCTGGATGCTGGGCTGAGTCTGCCCCTGGGAGCTCCCTCGCAGTCCCAAGAGCAGGTCCATGTCATGCAGGGACAGCCCTTCATGTCACATTAAACAGAAGAGGAGGGAATAAGGAATTTCAGATGGACTATGTTTTATTTTATATGAAGACATTGAACATGGACTCTACTCTATAAACACTGCAAGTGCACAAAACAGTATTGGTAATGGGGGGGGCCCAGTGTTGTACCACAAATCTACACAACTTCTTCATCCTGTGCAACTGAATGTGATGCATGCTGAACTTTACTTTAATGAGCCAGGCTGTGAGTGTGTGTGTGGCATCTGTGCACATTCATTTTGGCATAATTAATCATATGCTCTAACTGACATCAAAAGATCAAAAATGTATGTTATGTGTTGTCTTCAGATTGAAAGAGAATGGTGGGGGGTGCACTGGAGTCTAACACACTAAGCATGTGTCACCTCTGTCTGTCTGTCTGTCTGTCTCTCTGACTCTTGCCTTTTCTCTTTCTGCACAAACACATACAGACATACAGACGCATAGACACACACACACACACACACACACACTCACCACTGATCATTTTTGAAAATCTACCTGGAGCGATGCCTCTGATTGATGCTGAGCAATTCCTTGTAACAGACAAAAATGTGACCTTTTGCAGTATTTTTATGAATGTTCTTCAAGAAGTCACAGTGTACAGGAAGAATCTCCTGAGGTACAAAGAGAGCAGGACCACACTGTGTGTTGTGGAGATTTAGTGCATCGCACACTGTTTCTTGTATCATAATTATCCTGCCAGACTGATGTATATGCTCGATGTTGTGTTTTGTGGATGGATCTCTTGCAAAAAAAATATTTTCAGGAAAATAATATTGAAAAATCATTAATCAGGAGTCTCATACCACTGAATAGATAAAATATATTCATGGAAATGAAATTGTCTCAAAGTGTGAGAAATGTGAGAAAAATACTAGCAGAGAAAATTTCAAATGTGCTTTAAATAAAAGAAACAATATTAAAAAATGATTATACCAATAATAATAATACTTAGTAGTATTTATATATTTAATGGATCAATAAGAAAATGTAAACAAAAATTATAAGATTAAAATAAAATACAAACAAAGAGTAGCATTGGAAACCAGCAGAAGCAGGGAATGAGATGATTTTATGTCTTGGTTTTAGAAGCAATAAAGGAATGAAAGTTCGTAGCATCATGGGACTAAATTCAGGTTTCTAGTTTGTCTCCTTTGAAACACCAATGAGCGTGAGGGGGAGAGAGAAAAGGGAAAAGTGAGGAGAGATCCAAGAATAGACCCATAAGGCAAAGATGAAATGGGGAGCAGGGGTCAAGAATGATCTTACAGAGCAAATTCTCATGCTGCAAACCACGCTGTGATGTGCCTGTGATCATGTGAGGTTTAAATAGAATGAAGGGTGAGAGGAAAAGGCAAATTGGGAGCTTTCATTACAAAAGTGCAGGTTTTAGCGATATTTGCCTTGCATGGTTGTAAGTATTTGAATGTGAGATAGTTGGGAACAACACATGACCTGAAATCAACAATAAAAATACCTGCCAGAGCAATGCTGAAATAAAAACATAGACTTTTCAAGGCTTTACTGAAGTTCAATTATGCCTAAAGACAATAATATAAACTACAAGGCTGTGATACTTGGTCCCAAATCAATCACCGTGCTGTACCTTGCTCAGGGTCTCCCTGTCAGACTTTCTAACATGGGATATTCCTATCCCAGCCTCCTTCAGGTCTGTTCCAAATGTTCAGGCTCAGATATATTTATTTGTGGACTCTGACCACAGGGGGAACCAGGGATGGTGGTTTTGACAGACTATTCAGCCCTTTCCCTGACGTTGTCTGACTCCAGCCACCCATTGGCTCATCCACCTCAGTGCTCTGAAGCTCGTGGGGCCTTCTGCACATCCTCTGACATACGATGTGTCAGTTGTGGGATGTGTCCAGGGGTCAGCAGCTGCCCTGTCCTCACAGATAATCTGTGTTCTCAGGAAAGCTACTTTATGGCTGCTGCTGATTCAAGTTAATATTAGTTGAACATTTCTATTAATCAGCTGAACAAAATATAGACAAATTGGTTACTATCTTAAATCAGCACTTGTGGTGAAACTTTACAAAGACAGCCATGGTTGTTTTTCACCATATGCACCCAGTCATCAAGAAAAATCTTGGGATTCTCTAAAGGTGGAACATGGCCGGTAAAACAAGCCTCAAGGACTCCTTGGACATCTGCAGGTAGATTTTCATCAGCTTCCATTCTTCAGAGGATGCAAATTTATTGTCTGCCTATTTTGATAATGATCTCAAATAATTCATTGGCAAAAATGTTACTCTTTCAGTTGATAAAAAGCTGATTTATTTTGTGTTTCCATCCTGACTTATGAAAACATTTATATAAAGTAAGCTTGTCCAAAATCTAAACACAAGAGCACACACATATATACACATAGAAAGTTTTACCTTGGAGTGGTAAATGTCAAATGGATACTTTGCAAACAAACTGGTGATGACATTTGTCACAGAAATGTAAAAAAAAAAAAATACAAAAACCAAACAAACAAAAATACTATCCTCAGAGTCATATGGAAAAACAAAAGACACTAAATAGCCAAAGCAATCCATAGCAACAAAAAAATATAAAATAAAATAAAGCTGGAAGCATCATACTATCATATAAACACACACAGAACAACAGAACAGAACAGAGAATCAATAACTCCATCCACATACTTAAAGTCAACTGACCTTTCAAAAAGGCACTCAGAACATACATTGGGGAAATTCCAGTCTCCTAAAGAAATGGTTCTGTGAAAATTGGACATCCTTGTGCAGAAGAATCAAACTAGATCTGCACCTCTCACCGTATACCTAAATCAACTCAAAATGGATTAGACACTTAAATATACTACCCCGAACTATAAAACTACTAAAAGAGAGCATAGGGAAACACATAAGGATGTTGTACTTGGCAAATATTAAATGACAAACTTTCATGGAGTCTAGACTTACCAAATTTTTGCCTTAACACTGTGTTTGGCAAAAGATTAAATGTATATTGACTTAAAATATTTTCAATATACAATGGGTTTATTGAGACGCGACTCCATGATAAGTTGAGGAACATCTGTACACATGAAACTCAGGTGTGACAAGGGGAAATTTAGTGAAGATGTATGTAATGACTTTGGGGTAATTAAACACAAAATATGTCAATGTAGTTAATGTGGACCTTGACATCAGTCTCTAGTGATCTCATATGACTAACAGGACCAACTTTATTGGTGCATTTTTATTGTTCACATTAGGGACTTCTGTCCATGTGGACACGTGACATAGTTCCACTCATGGAGGCAGGAGAGATGGTCTGCTGGGGCTTTCCTGATTCTTCAGGAGGGCATTTCAGAAGAATCATCTCCTTTCTTGCATAAAAGAAGGTATCTTCATATCTCTGTGTGACTCTTTGGAAAGTCATTCATGTCCACAAATCATAAATGTGAACTGTAACATGAAGCTAAAATGCCAGGTGAATTAGTGTCCAAATCTAGGAAAGTCAATAACTTGGATTCAAGGGCTGTTGAAATACCCAAGCCTGGATCCATTCACATCTGGGCGTCTTGTTTCAATAGTTTGTGATTTGTGTCATTGTTTAGTCCGTTCCAGTCACCTCTCTTTGCTTTCTGCTTAAATAGCAACACAAAATAATCAACAATGAGATATAAAATAACTAATTTGAAAAATAACCTAACATCAAAATTTGTTAGTTGTACATACTAACACATGCAGACGATGTGAATAAATGCTGATTGTACTCAAAATAGTTTTATCTTAAATAAAGAAAAGCTGTGCATTTCTTAGATTTATTAGAGACTCATG